TTTGCCTGTGCCTTTAAATGCAAATGAGCTTGTTCTTACCGCCCACCGTTCTGAAAGGGGCTCATAATATTGACCTTCAAAATTATTTTTAAAAATATAACAACATTTTATCAAAGCTTTAAAGGAACATCAACCCCCACCCCACCCTCCCTCTCTGTGGAAGTCTACCTCCAAATTATTTTCAAAATATGCTCCTAGATGGGCATATAGGGAGGACTTTTTAAGTTGGCTCGCCACCTCATGATAAAAAAATTCTGATACACAATCTGAGAGGACACATGATTTTATAATTTACAAAGTTAAAATGCTAAGAAATAAACAGTAAATAATTAAATGCTGTGACATCTATGATTACCTATTCATAACTTCATATAATACATAACCACATTTTGATGTATCATTATAAAGATAATCATGTTGATATAAACACTAAATGAGGACTTCTCTTCCTTATCTCTGAATGGTAACAAACTCGACTGATAAAAGACAAAGTCCACCATTCTCCCGACAAAAATGCTTGCTGCACACAAAAAGCTTTGCTGTATCGGTGGCCCTGACAGCATCGCGGAGAAAGCAGACATGTAATAAACTAAATACTATGTGTCATGCGCAGACACAGCCTCAAAGCTTGGCGGGTCTGTGATCTGTAATCAGAAAGCACCATAGATGGAAAGTACGTGCTCTTATAAATAATTAAGAAGCAGGCTCTTTTCACAGGATAAGAAATCTCAGGTATGAATAATAATGAGAAACCGACGCGTCATCACTTCACTTGCAGTCGCGCACTACATGAACAGATGAAAAAAACTAAAAATTTTCCCCACAATTAAAGCTAACAGGTGCTAACGTTGTTTAAATTGATGCTCTACACATAAAAATGTGTTAAAATCTAACAGGAAATACTGTGAAAAATTCACTTACTCTGTTAAGCATCACTTATTTGAAAATGAATAAAAATGTCACAGAAGACACTGTATATTATATTTTCATTGTATATAATTTTATTTTTAATTAAATGTCTCACTTGCCATTTCTTTGATAGTTATTGTGAAACCTACTAGCAATTACTCAGCGTTTATTGATTCTTTCCACTTTTTTTTTTCCAGTGTACTGATTAGTTTGCAATCTGTGTGGCTTGATTGCAAGTGATCTGTGGGATTTAGCATCAGTTGGAGTGATAATCTTGTGTTTGAAGTAGTAAAGGGGGTGGAAAGGTAGTGACTGTCTCCTTTCCACTGGTCACCCGGCGGCCCTGTCAGCATCACCTCACCACTGATCGATCTGATCAATACTCACAAACACTACACGGTTTGCATGTGAAAGGCCATGAATGTCAGCTGCTCCATTGCCTCAGTTCATCCATATGTTTTCTAAAGAGCATGAACTAGTCTGTGGATAGTGTCTAAAACTACAGGAAGACAGCAATGTGTAAAGTACATGAGGTCAGAAGCTAATTTGATTTCACAAACTATCTAAATTGTACGTTATATAATAAAAAACAGATTAGGTTGGATATTATATGACTTTTGAATATTTATCTTAATTTTGTATTAATGATTATTCATTTTGATTATTTGAACACATTTTTGTGTTTGGGGAAATGTCTGCAGACAAATACGCTGATAAATGTTGTTAGTCTAGCATGAGTTACGCACTTGAGCAAAAATATCATCACTTTCCAGCAAAAAAATGAGAATATTCTGCAAAATAAATGAAAAACAGAGACTGTCAATCTTTTAAAAGCATCAAAAGAAAACACATGTTTGTTTTTCTCTGTAACATTGCTGATAAATGAGTTGAAATATTGAAACCACATTGTTCTTATAGTGCTTTTATTGTACTTTTAACCTATTTGAGAGCTTAACAGTCCCTGTCTTTCTTTGCCTTATGGAAAACATTGTAAAATTCTCATTTTGTGTTACTCTGGAGAAAAAAAAAAATATGTGGGTTCAGATTTGGCCATTTTTGTACACCTTTTGAAATTGGCAGAACAAAAATAAAAATAATTGCACATCTTTTGTCTTTCACATAAGCCTAAAAATGTTCGTAAAATCTCACTGCTGTTCAAAAGTTTGAGGTCTGAAAGATTTTTTGCAAAGGTTTTGTGGAAACCTTGATGCATTTCAGTTTAGCATTTCTAATGAATTTATAACTCAAAAGCTCAGCATTTATTTGAAGTTAAAGTATGTAAGTTTACTGTGACATTTAAGCAATTTAATGCATACTTTCTTTTAAAAACTGAATGTTGTTTATCTATGCTTCTATGAAGACGGGCCAAAAAATGTCATTTCCTCACCATTTACTCACACTCAAGTGGTTCTACACTTTTATGCATTTCTTTCTTCTGTTGAACACAAAACAAGGTATTCTGAAGTATGCTGGAAGGAAGGCTGCCATTGACTACCACAGTAGGAACAAAAATATTATGGAAGTCAATGGCTGTTTTAGTCCAACAGCATATCTTCCTTTGTGTTCAACGGAAGAAAGAAACTAAGCTTTTTGAAGAAGAGTGGATGATGAGTAAATAATGGCAGGATTATCATTTTTGGGTAAACTACATGCCTTTAACATCCATGTTACATCTTTGCACTAAATGTTCTTATAATGGAACAAAAATATTCTTTTTTTGTAATTCAGTTTTTTATGGATGCTCCGATCACAATTTTTGCAGCCGATGTCGAGTTCTGATTTTTTCTCATGGGGATCGGCCGATACCAAGTACCAGCTCTGATGCCTCAAGCTTTTTATAACTTTGCTATTGCATAAAGCACATTCAAGTATGATAAACTGGAGAACTCTCTTTAGTTCTTGAATATATCCCTTAAACATGTCTCTAATAACTATTTAGTGTGGACATGTAATGGTTGAAGCAACTTTACGGAAAATTATAGATAAAACAATTTTTTTGGAAACATGATGGAAGAAGAATTCAACTTGTCTCAATGAAGAAAACGTTGAAGTGCATATTTGATGCATAAGAAGTTAAAATGCACACCTACAGTGTAAATCCATTATTGCTTCTTTCCTAAAAGAAAATAGGCCTACAAACTACTGTTTATTGTAACAAATATATTAGAATAAGTTATATTAACCCCCCATCACCCCCCCCTTCATTAGGCCCCTATTAGAATTATTAGGCCCCCTGCTTATTTTTTCCCCCATTTTCTGTGTAACGGCGAGAAGAGTTTTTCAACACATTTCTAAACATAATAGTTTAAACAACTCAACTCTAATAACTGATTTCTTCTATCGTTGACATGATGACAGTACACAATATTTTACCAGGTATTTTTTAAGACTAGTATTCAGCTTAAAGTGACATTTAAAGGCTTAACTAGGTTAATTAGGTTAACTAGGCAGGTTAGGGTTGTTAGGCAAATCATTGTATATTGATGGTTTGTTCGGCAAACAATCGAAAAAAATATAAAGTTTAAAAGGGCTAATCATTTTGACCTTAAAAGGTTTACTAAAATTTAATACTGCTTTTATTCTTGCTGAAATAAAACAAGGCTTTCTCCAGAAGAAAAAATATTATTAGACATATTGTGAAAATTTGCTCTGTTAAACATAATTCAGGAAATATTAAAAAAAGAAAAAAAAACAAAGGGGGGCTAATAATTCTTACTTCTGACTTCAACGGTATGTAAAAAAGACCTAAATACAAGTGTATTTGCAAGCTATTCAAATATTTTGCTCATCTCTAACTATTGATAGCAGCAGAATGATCGCAGCTCTGGACAGCTGCTGTGTTGGGAAAGCAGATATCGCTCCCGGCCGTACACATCATTTACCTCTTCACGTGTTGTAACCATACCTGCCCACATTTGTCTCTAAACATCCGGGAGACCGGTAGGGGAAGGGGGGTGTTCGTGAAGTTAAGTGACTGTTGCAAGTTAACACTGTTGCCAGTCGGACGGGTTAATAACCGTACTGTGGTGTTAGTAACTGTATGGTTTCGGGCGGCCGCTGTGATACTATACTAAAGTGGGCGACCTGGGGGTGTTGCAGTACAAGCTGTACCAAAAAACCCGGGGTGAAATTACGGGAGTTGTCCAGGAGAAATAACAAAACGGGAGGGTGGTGGGACATGGGTCTGAAATATGGGAGACTCCTGGGAAAAACACTACTAATGAGTGCATGTGCGACTTACTCTGTGTGTAAACTCGTAAACAAACACTTGTGATCGATTCATGAGATCGGCCAGATTGGCAAGTACCGATCGAGTCACGAAAAGGGATTATTGGCCGATACCAATTTCCGGCTGATTGATCGGAGCATCCCTACAGTTTTTATTTTATTTTACAAAATGAGTATATAACATACTTTTAACAATTACTACCCCATACTGTATATATCCCCTTCCCTTTCCCATTTATGTGCTTATCAGGAATTTGTCCCTCACACCTTTATGTGCACATTAGGAATGACAGGATAAATGCAGTTTAGGTAAAACAATTAAATAAATTAGATTTAATGAAAAAAATATTGTTAACTCAAAATGTTTCAGATGTCACATTTGAATTGTCCATTTGGAGCATTATATTTTGGAAAGTGTTGTCGAATCATTCATATATAAATTTGTTCAAAAACTGAATAGTCAGGCTGACCTCAAACTTTTAACCAGCAGCAGTATAATCACAGCCGTGCTGAGACCCATATGATATTGCTCAAACATGAAAAATTAAACTATAGCCAGAGGGGAATAACACACATAGAGTTATTTCTCCTCGACTCAGCCTCGGTTCTCGTTCAACTGCAGACCACAGGCGTCAGTAATCTTCACACCTCCAGTCCTGTCCTCAATCTTCCCCCTGAAGCGCCACATCATGGTGATGATGTACCATGCTCTGTTGAGACCCACCGTTCCCATGGCATGCATTTACTGTCTCCTCATGACAGCGTGCGTGTGTGTGTATGCGTGTATATATGTGTGTGTGCGTGCATACGTGTGAGCCGCCAGCCTCACACACCGAGGTAATGTGCATCTCTTCATCTCACAGGCAAACCCTCCCCCCATCATTGTGAATGCAGACTCACTGGATGCAGGCCCTTATGTAAGTATCTGCTTCATGCTCTCAGCACCTCCAGTAGCGCCTGCCTGACTGCCTGACTGCCTGCCATGTGGAATTATACCCCTCTGCCCGGCCAAACCTTTCCGCATGTACATCAGATAATAACAATAAAAATATGCACAGATTAAACCCCAGCAGATGCGGATTGTAGCTTTAATGCCGAGCGCAATTATTATTTAACCGTTATAATGAGTAGTCTTTTTCACTGTGTTTATCGACCCCGTGCCTTGTATGTGATTCATACTGCTCTGTTGTTTTTTTTAATGTGCTTAGTTTATAGCGTTTCTGCTTTTAAATAATTAATGATACTTGTGACCTTTTTGTGGATGATTTGTTACCTAATGAAGATGCACACGAGATTATATCTAAAATTGTTCTTTCCTTTCTTACAGGTGAATGGGAGTGATGGCATGTATAAATATGAAGAAATCATTTTGGAGAGGGTAAATATTACTCAACTGTTTTTAATGTGTGTGCGTGATTTATAATTTGCAGATATGTTCCTTCACAAGTGTTACCTATGAGGACCTGGACACTAGATGGCAGTAAATGTTGAGCTTTTGCCTGGGATTGAGCAATGTAGTATGTAGCTGTGGTACTTTTTTTTAAACTCTAGACAGAAAAAATAATCTTTCCACAATGTAAATATTAAAATTCAGTTAAATTGTTAAACTACATGGTGGGAATCACAAGCGTTTTGGTAACACTTTACAATAAGGTTCATTTGTTAATGCATTTACTAACATGAACTAATCATGTACAACACTTGTACAGCATTTATTAATCATAATTGAACATTTACTAATGCATTATTAACATTCAAGTCCATGCTTGTTAACATCAGTTAATGCACCATTAGTTAACATGACCTAACAATGAACAACTGTATTGTCATTAACTAACGTTTATTAACATGAATATATGCTGGAGTAAATGTATTGTTCATTGTTTGTTCATGTTAGTAAATGCATTAATTAACATTAACTAATGATCCTTATTGTAAAGTGTGACCTGCGTTTTCCATTTTTTATGGTTATGAATTGCATTATGGGGGCTTGATCTTTTTCTTTATTATTATTAACAATGCTTCAACAATAACAGAAAGGCATTAGTGTTTTTTTATTACACACAAAAAAAAAATATCTATATATAAAAATAAGTAGCAGAGGAGTTGAAGTTCTCCAAATATGAAACCAAAATTCCTCTAATGATGAATATAAATGTCTTGCTTTTTGACTTTTCATCTCTCTTAATCTTGATCTCTCCTCTGTCAAATATTTATGTTGAAAGTTCATCTCTACAGTTAAACAAAGTGACTTCTATTGACATTTTAGTAGGTTAAAATAATATAATGTTTAAGATACTGTAATAACATTTAGAGAAATAAGTCTGGTTTCCCAGCACACTGCCAGAACATATGCTAGAGTAGTTTGCGGTTCATTCTGCTGTGGCATACCCTGTTAAATCAGGAAGTAAGCATGAGACAGTTTAAGATTCTTATGGTATGATAACCTTGGATAAAATATCACGGTTTTAATGTATAGTGGTTCCTGCTCTAAAATAGCTTTTTTTAAAAGTCTGGATAAAAACAACAACTTTCCCTCCCTTTGAACACAACATATTTTATTTTGAGCAACATTTAAAATATTTTGGAGCAGTAAACATGTCAGGCTAAATCATTCAAATGAATCATTGACTTCTGCTGTCTTTATTAGTTTCAAAAACACAGATTTCTTTACAATTTAAAATGGCATATTTTTATATCTTTTCTGCTGAATATACTGTTTTCCTAAAAAAATAAAATAAAAATCTTAGCCATAGCTTATGGGAATGGTATAGCAGAAAAAAAACTCCAGATTATGTGCCTGTCTTTTGAAACCTGGATTAGTAGCTTAAATTATGTGTTGCCCATGTAAGAAATGCGATATACTGTAGGATAGCAAACAAAAAAAAACATATTTTTTTAAATCTGGACTCCAATTTGGTTTTATATCAGTGATGCTGACTTGTAACTCATTATAGGTGGGATTGGTTTGGCATATGTCAATTTGTGGAGCCTACACATTTCTCTGTAAATTAGTTATTTTTAATATTTAATTAATTATTTTTCTCAGAATCTTTCAGGATGATATTGTATTATGTTGTGTCCGACTGTCTGTGTATTGTGAAATGGCCTTTGTATCTTTTTTTTTCCTGTTTATGTTATGTTATTGTTTATTTTCTTATGCTGATAACAATAAAAAATATAAAAAATAATAATAAACACATTAAAAAAATTTGACTTTTCCAAAACACAGCATACATTGAAAACTGGACTGGGAGTAAGCCAAAGAAAAATGAATGAATGAATAAAATAGTTCTGTAAAATACCAGAAAATAGAATCAATTTAAAATATTAAAAATGTCAATAAAAATCACTTTTTCAAACTTCTTAAGGTTAAAAGTCAATGGAAGAAAGATCAAGGTCCCATAATGCTATTCAAAAAATAAATAACTAAAAAATAAAAAAAAATGAATCACAAAATATGAAACAAGGATCTAATTTACTGATCCTTTTTACCATGCATGTTACCATGCAACACTAACTATATGGTTCTAAAAATCATATAATATAAAAATGCTCCCTACTACAGCTAGTGATGTATAGTAGTGATGGTACATATTTGCATTATTAAATACACTGAAATTACACAATAATCAAACTGACATAAAAAAATAAAAAAAAACCTTCAAGCAATATTTAATTGAAAGGTGAGATGCTGAAATCAGTTTTTCTTGGGTAAAAGTTACAGTATAACACTAATTATATAGTTCTAAAAAATCATTCTAAAAATAAAAGTGCTCCCTACTACAACTATAATAGCACAGAGGAATAAAACTGCTGGAGTCACTTTCAGAACAATTTCACTAGTTGATAAGTGATTAAAATGCTGACAGCCAATCAGAATCCACTCTACTTGAACAAGCTTTTCTAATTAAAATGGCAGATGTCAAAACTGCAGCTCACACTTATAATAAATAGTCATAGTCTACTGATTTGAGGGAACATTCAGAAAACATTCAGAAATAGTTTTGTGTGTGTGTGTGTACTGATTTTGGTGGTTTACGAGGACATGATACAGAAATTTGTATAATGTCATGACCTAGTTGAACTCTATTAAGATGGTTAATCAGTCAGGACATGTATTTAGTCCTCTTAAATCAAAAGCATTTAAAAATGATACTTAATGAGCTTTTCACTTACAAAATTTTGCCAAAGGTTTCCTGTGAGGGTTGGGTATAGGGGTAGGGGTGGGGTAAGGCCATAAAATAAGCGTTTTTACTGTATAAAATACATTATGTCAATGGAGTATCCTCGTAAAACACCAATACGTTTGTGCATTGATTTACTATTAGCCAAACCGTCTTAGAGCATATATTTGTTAGATTGGAATACTTCAGAAAACTGATCACCGGCCACTTTATTAGGTACACTTGTCCAACTGCTATTTTTTAATTAGCCAATAACATGGCAGCAAATAAATACTCACTTAAAAAGGATTTAAGTGACCTTCAATGTGACATGGTTGTTGGTGCCAGATGGGTTGGTCTATGTATTTCAGAAACTGCTGATCTACTGGGATTTTCACGCACAACCATCACTAGGGTTTACAGAGAATGGTCTGAAAAAGAGAAAATATCCAGTGAGCGGCAGTTCTGTGGGCACAAATGCCTTGTTGATGCCAGAGGTCAGAGGAGAAGGGCCAGACTAGTTTGAGTTGATAGAAAGGCAACAGTAACTCAACTAATCACTCATTACAACCAAGGTATGCAGAAGAGCATCTCTGAAGGCACAACACGTCCAACCTTGAGGTGGATGAGCTACAGCAGCAGAAGACCACACCAGGTACCACTCCTGTCAGCTAAGAACAGGAAACTGAGGCTACAATTCGCAAAGGCTCACCAAAATGGGACATAAAAGATTGAAAAACGTTGCCTGGTCTGATGAGTTTCGATTTCTGATGCGACATTCAGATGTTAGGGCCACAATTTGGCATCAACAACATGAAAGCATGGATCCATCCTGCCTTATATGTATGGTTCAGGCTGGTGGTAATGGAGGTGTGGGGGTTATTTTCTTGGCACACTTAAGTAATAACTGAGTGTTGTGTCAACGCCACAGCCTACCTGAGTATTGTTGCTGACTATGTCCATCCCTTTATAGTGTCCCCATCTTTTGATGGCTACTGCCAGCAGGGTAATGTGCCATGTCATAAAGCCTGAATCATCTCAGACCCAAAACATCTCAGTTTCTTAAACATGATAATAAATTCACTGTACTCAAATGGCCTCCACAGTCATCAGATCTCAATCCAATAGAGCATCTTTGGGATGTGATGGAAAGGGAGATTCGCATCGTAGATGTGCAGCCGACAAATCTGCAGCAACTGTGTGATGCTATCATGTCAATATGGAGCAAAATCTCTGAGGAATATTTCCAATACTTTGTTGAATCTATGCCACGAAGGATTAAGTCATTTCTGAAGCAAAAATACGGTCCAACAGGTTTAGTGAGTTGTACCTAATAAAGTGGCCGGTGAGTGTATATAGATTTACAAAAATTAGGTTTGTATTAACCATTAGATTAAGATTAGTTTATTATTAGTTTATTAAGAAGTACTACATCAGAGACTGCACTATTGAGCATTAAAAGAGTTTTGAAAATGTACCACTTGTGAAAATGCTTCACAGTTCGTCTAGGTGCTGTTCTTATCTACACGGACAAAATGTTCTTTGCTGGAATAATCATACGAACTTCCATGGCTTTAATGTTGCAAGGTCTTTTCATACTTGAAGTTTGTTCAATGCAAATGAATCTAAATCCGTCCGCATAGGCCATTCATTAAACAGCAGTGGATGGTGGATTTGGGTACATCTCTGAGCTTTCAGCATAATTGCAGGGCTGTTCTCTAAGTGCCATTTCTGCACGCCGAGGCCTAAATAAACTATGTTAAGATCTCACACGTTAAAAGGTCTGTGGGTGTGTATGATTCTTTAGTGGGAGCTCTCGTAGTGGCTCCGGAGCAGGAAAGGCTCACTGGGATGTCTCCGTTCCACTCGGCACTAATTTGCTGCGACCGTCGCTCATTAATTATAGAAAATAATAAAGTGAAGTCTTTTCTCAGCTGTCTGCTTTAGGGCCTGTCTTTTGAGATGTGACTGTCAGACAGAACAGCCCGTCTCAGCTTTTTGGCACTGGAATAAAACAGCAGTGTAAGAGGTGATGAAGTACGGAGGGAGGAAATAGGCGGAAGCGGAAAAGATTTTTGGAATCTCGAAAGGCGCACCACAAATTGCTATATTTAGCAGGGTAAAACTGTTCATGCCTAGAAAGTGTTTTGAAAAGTATTGAGAGCCAGGTGTCTTCTTCAATTCTCTGTTTATCATTTTCTAACTGGTGCATGTCATCAATAGGGTAACTCTGGCCTTGGGTTCAGCATTGCTGGAGGAATGGATAATCCACATATTCCTGATGATCCAGGAATTTTTATCACCAAGATCATCCCAGGAGGTGCCGCTGCCATGGATGGGAGACTAGGGTGAGTGATCATTCTCTCAGCATGTAATATCTCATTGTTAATCTCACTTTAAAACTACTTGCTTAGGTAGAATTTTAAGCCAATATATAATCTTCTCAATTTAAAAATGATCAAAAAGGCTGTTAGATCTTAATTGCGATACCAAGGTAGGGCTGCACAATATATATACAATATATACATTATATATATGAGCAATATCACACGAGTAGCAGTGCGACATGGCTGTATATCGGCACTGGTGGGAGGCGGCCGAGTGCCTTAGTACCCCCACCAGTGCTGATATACAGCCATATCGCACTGCTACGAGTGTGATATTGGGTTTAAACAACAGTTTGACAGCATAATTGTGTATATAAAAGCCAATCAGATTCGAGAACCAGACAGAACTGTTGTGTGTATATATATATATATATATATATATAGTTTCAGAATTGATATTGCAATGTGTGCATTCGCAATGGTCAAATCACAAGATCTGCAAAGTTGAGTTGGGATTATTATAAACCAGAAGCCACAGTTCAGAACACACAAGACTTTTGAGTTTAACTATAATGGAGTGAACGTTCTTTCATCATTATAGTGCATGTGTTTTTAATGGTAGTAACTGTGTAAGCATTTAAACAATGTTTTAAAGCATAGGTCTCAATCTGGATTCCTGGAGGGCCGAAGCTCTGTACAGTTTTGCTTCAATCCTAATCACACACAGCTGATCAAACTAATCAAGGTGTTCAAGACTACTATAGACTATTAAGCTGGTGTGAGTTGGAGGTGGTTGGAGCTAAACTATGCAGAGCTGTGGCCCTCCAGAAATTGAGTTTGAAACCATTGTTTTAAAGCATTAAGGCACTAAGAACTGTATTGTTTGTAATTTTAATAAAGACACATTTGAGTGGATTTTTTATACGATAAAGACTCTACAGATTGAAATTCAATTTCTGTAGCTTAATACCGTTAGAGTCCCCAGAAAACCGTAAAGCTCTGTTCATTTCATTTTTCATCTTTGCTTGATTGTATTTATTTGTGCTTGTAATTTTTTTTTTTATGCATTATTCACGGTCCTACAGAATTATCCCAATCCATCTTAATGAATGAGTTCATGATAATGAACAGAGCTATTCCAGCCATCTGGTGAAACTTAATTCATATCACGATATATTTCTATATTTTCATAAATGAATAAATAAAATAAAAATATATTGCATTTCTGGAGTTTTATAATATCGTGCAGCCATATGTCAAGGTACTTTGATCAAGCAGGGCAGCATTGCATACAATATATTCTTTGCTGGAGGAGATATATTGCACTGTAAAATGCTTTTCTTAATCAAAGTTTTTGTCTTTTTTTCTAGTCCAAGTATTTTAAAACTTTTTAAATCAAAAAACATTTTATAGAATAAAAAAGAATATAGAAATATATATATATATATATATATATATATATAAATATTGTTTTGAGAAATAATAAGATAATAAATTAAGAGGATTTGTCCCTTAAAAAGCAAAACAGTCTGCCAATGTGGTAAGCAAAATAATCTTATTTTCTTATTTTAATGAAAATTATCATTTCACTTAACCCATTGACAGATCATTTTGCTTGTTACTTAATTTTTTTTTTTTTGATATTTAGACTAAAAACAAGACAAAAACTTAAAATAAGAAACACATTTTTTGGTAAGCATGGTGAAAATTATTACCATTATATTCAATTTTTTTTTTTTTTTTGCTAAGGATTTTATCCTTATTAAAGTCTTAGCTTATTAAGTAATTTATTATCTAACCCACATGCTACTTTAGATATGTTTTCAAAGACAGTGCCCTCATATTTTTCTTCTGAATTGGAGAAAGTGCAGCATACAATATGACGTATTAGCCCACATAAATCAGAAGCAGTGTCTGAAAATATGTTGTTCCAGATTCTCCCTTTCTAGTCTGTTTCCTTTTTTCTGCTCATGAGTGCTGATGATCTGTTTTATTAGCATAGATCAGTAAAAACCACTGCATTCAAGAACTGTTAGGAGTTTATTAAAAATGTGTTGTTCAGTCCAGTGCAGTGTTCATCTTTTGTAGTTTAATTTTAATCAATTTATATTAACACCATAGACGGATCGATGTGCTCAGAAACTAGCATAATATTAATTTAAACTGACTTTAAAACTTGTTTAGAAAATAAACTTTCTTGTTGATGAGGAACAATATCATGCTAAAACCGTCTGTTTTAAGAGTATCTGGAACAACCTCTTGGTATTTTGCTCAGAGACTTCACAGAAACATTCTGGTGACACTTAAGACTTATATTACATGGAACAATTGATATTTTTAAGAGCAAAATGAAAATTATGAATAATTATGGAAATTGCTTTTGCAACTACATGATATTATAATCTTTTGAAATTGGGCACTTACAAGATTCAGCGACTGTTTGAGCCCATTCACACAAGGACAATAATAATGATGATAAACAAACTGTAAAGATATAGTTCTAAATATAAAATAATATCATGTAACATCCACATGACAAATAACAGGAAAGAAAAACAACATCATGTGAATGACTTTTTAAATGAATTTGAAAAAACAATGACAGCCAATCAGACTCCATTCTGCTTTAAATGGATTGACACAGCAACACACTTTCAGAAATAAAGGTGCGCGAGCTGTCACTGGGGTGGTACCTTTTTAAAAGGTACAAATTTGTACCTAAATGGTCCATATTAATACCTCAAGGGTACATACAGTAGTAGTACCTAAAAAGTACAAAAGTGTTCCTCTTAAAATTGTTAGGTACTAATAAATACTTTTGAGGTACCAATATGGACCCTTTAAGTACAAATGTGTACCTTTTGAAAAGGTACCACCCCAGTGACAGCTCGCGTACCTTTATATCTGAGAGTGTAGTGTAGACTTAACAGAGCAATTTTGTCAGCTGGTGTGGATGCTAATATAGATATTTTTATAGTTATTGATCTTGGTTTGAACAGGCCTTCAGGGTACTGTTTTAGAAGGAACCTGCCCATATAAGCAGGTTTTGGAACAAAGTACATGTCTGTACTAACTCAAATATGTGTTATATATTCATTGCTTTATTGCTCAATTTATTCTTCTCTTGACTTTGTGTGTCTTCTTGTGCTTCAGGGTAAATGACTGTGTTCTGCGGGTGAATGATGTGGACGTGTCAGAGGTTGTGCACAGCAAGGCAGTAGAGGCTTTGAAGGAGGCAGGCCCAGTGGTCAGGTTGCTGGTGCGCAGAAGACAGGCTCCTCCTGAGACCATTTTGGAGGTCAATCTGCTCAAAGGGCCTAAAGGTTAGTGAAGCTAAATGTGTATCACCTTCTAAAATGATTTACTCTTGTGATGAATGCAGAAACATTGAAGCATTGTGTAATAAACATAGAGTCAACATGAATGAGCCAGTGCACTTTTTTGTATTAAATCTTTTCATGCTTTTTTAAATTGAATCTATTGCTTTGCCTGGAAATAAGCCACCTTAAGGAAATAAAATGGGTTGTGAGTGCTATTTCATGTTGACGTCAACCTCATGGCCAAGATCTGATTTCCTGGTCATAAATGTTACTTCATTTTATTTATTCAAGGTCTTGGCTTCAGTATTGCTGGGGGAATAGGCAACCAGCACATCCCGGGTGACAACAGTATCTACATCACTAAGATCATTGAGGGTGGTGCAGCACAGAAGGATGGGCGTCTGCAGACGGGCGATCGCCTATTGGCTGTAAGATTTCACTTACACTCATATGACTGTGCACTTCAGTATCTGTAGAGCCACATATAGACATGTACCGGAACACTGCATATCTTTGTAGTGAATTACTTCATGCTTCAGCGAGCACAGACACTGTTGTAGGCCATTATGCCATATTATAGATGTTATATCTCATGTGTGAAGGTTTATGGGCCACAATGTGATTGATGTGAAGCTGAGCGCAAACTCAAACAAGGACACAGCTGCGATAAAGAGAAACACTTGCATGGCATACAAGTGCCAGGGACTGAGCAGGCTCTGACATGGTCATAAATGTGGTAATTAAATGGCTGTGCATCAATCGTGGCTACCATAATTGCAGACATGTAAAGTGTGCCTTTACTTCCCTTTCTCTGCTTGAAAATGATGGCTTTGATTACTGAACAGAGTATGTCAAGAACATGTCAAGTATTATAAAGGAAGTTATAATGTGTCTACAAACCGGATTTGATGCTTTATCAGATAACAGCATTCATTGATTTTATTGGGGATGTTGCATAACAAGTTAAAAACAATATTAAAAAGCGAACACATACACAGTCAGGCTCATTTAAAGAACTATCCACCTTTCAGTAAATCAATTGGTGTTTTACTTAATTTAGCTAGTATGAGTCTTTTTAATGTTCAGTTTAAGGCAGGATGTTCCTTATTTTTAACTTAAATAAATATATTAGTAATGTCTTATTCCATACTGTACATACTGATATATATTACTTGTTTGTTTTGTTATAAGAAAGAAAGCACATTTCTTAAGAGCATGCATGTAAAGCACAGGTGTCAAAGCCAGTTCCTGGCAGTTTAGTTCCAACCCTAATTAAACACACTTGATCAAACTAATTGAGCACTTTAGGCTTGATTAATACCTACAGATGGGTGTGTTGAAGCAGACCTGGAACAAAACTCTGCAGAGCTGCGGCCCTCCAGGAACTGACTTTACCACCCCTGATGTAAAGCAACCCAAATAAATAAAGCAAAATAACAGAAACAAAATAGTGAATCAGTGTTTAGATGCCATATTTATTATTTACAGCAGTAATCCAACATTATTTTGAACGGTTTTTTTTTATGGCGTGAAATTACAGATCTAACCAATGTGGTCTAAACAATAAATTTACAACAAAGTTCAGTAAACTTTTGTTTGTTTCTTCAACAGTGCTAGTATTGAGGCAGTTAAACTGCAAATGATAGTTTCCACACCCTCAGAACAAATCAGACACTTTCCCATCTGCCAATCACTCAGCTTTCTGTGTAGTGTAGTTGCCCTAAAGCTTACAAAGGAAAAAGCTCTGTGCCTTTCCAGCTTCCCCTCCCTCTCGTCCTTCCTTTTGTGACCGGACGGCTGAGAATGGAGCGCCGTCGCCGAGTGTGGGGCCATCCGGCCTCCGCTCCAGTCGCTTCCTTCCCACATCTTCAAATGTGCTGTCGTGAATATTCTGAGTCACGCTTCAGAGCCCAGCCAATGTAACATGCGTGTGTGTGTCTGCCTTCGCAGGTGAATAACATTATACTTCAGGATGTGCGTCATGAGGAGGCTGTGGCCGCCCTGAAGAACACTTCAGACATGGTTTATCTGAAAGTGGCCAAACCGGGCCCAGTACATCTCAACGACATGTACGCCCCACCAGACTACTCCAGCAGTACGTACCTTCTTTTGCTCATCTCCATCTATCATATGCCTCTACTACTCCTTTTTATAGCCCAAGCACATGAGGTTGTTTTACTGCATTGATAAACGTGGGTCATTTCAAACATAACCCGCTGTATGTATTCTCTGTTTTCATCTTTAACCCTGTAATGAAAGCGAGTAGTGTAGTGCTGTGGAGTTTTGTAACAGTACTGTAGTGTAGCAGTGGGTGCTGTTTTCAGACACCCACACACACTGCACTGCTGCTCCCATCACAGCACCAATCCCTCCCTCCCACTGAGAGAGAGAGCTTTCGCACAATCCACCTGCACAAATGCACAGATTGCGCACAAAATTCACGTTCTGTCACACCTGGTGGCTGAATAGCCCTTATTGGCCCTCATTTAGCTGTTTTCATACTTGGAGTCGTGTAGCTACATATTTATATGACCTTCATCTTCATTGTATGCATATTTATTACAAAACAGAGCCTATAACATTACTGCCTCCTTTCACTTTCATTGAAAAAATGAAACATACTCTCTCTTTTGCGGAATATCAGTTTATAATTATTAATAATGGCCATAATAAAAGTATAACGAACAATAAGTTTATACATTATAATAACTAAAAGGCAAGCAATCAGTCAAATGTGCAGAATCAGGGTTTGTGGTTACATTAATTAATATTATTAACCTTTGTGCTCAGCCAAAACACGTCACCTGAGAACAAGTAATAGATTCAAAAAACCAAAGTCAGGGAATATGATGTTAGATATAGACAACAAGATAAATTAAATATCGTGTTTAACAACTATAGTGAGATGAGATCCAGCGGTAGATCCTTGATGAACTGTCCTACGTGCGCAGCCCTCATCTGGGTAGATGTGTTCAAAGCACCCGCTGACTGCCGGGAGCTCAGAAGCGCGCATAAGCTGCAGCGCATGTTAGAGTGTGTTTGTGGTCACATGACGTAAGTTTTCAGCGGTATAGTGTGGACAGAGAGCTGTTCAGAAACGCTAAATGAAACATCAGTGTGGACGTGAATCATTTTCATTCTAAAACACCGTTTTAAAACTAAAGTATATTAGTGTAAATGGGGCCTCAGGTCTTGGACTTTTCTCCAGAGGGGATAAATCGGCCTAAAGCTCTGGTGAAAGCTCTTTTTAATGTGTTTATTTTAGGCCCTTTACTAAAATGTTTGCTTTTTAGTTGTCTATAGTAACATAATCCTTAAATTTTGAGATTAGTGTGTTAATTTTGGGGTCTGCGATCAAAATCACAACTTACAAATTGGTCCTTTATAGCTACTTGGTAAAATCATCTGCTTTTTTCCCCTTTACTGGTCTTGGCCTCCCTCCAGCCTTCCCCACCATGGTGGACAACCACGTCGGACACAATTCCAGCATGGCTTACATGGGGGGCATGGAGCCTAAACCAGTGTACCAGCCGCCCCAGGTCACCCCATCGCGGTACTCACCGGTCCCACGACACATGCTGGGGGAGGAAGACTTCACCAGGTCAGAGTCATGACTTTACTCATCTATTCACTCACGCTCACTCACTTCTTCACTTCAGGGTTCCCATCTTCATGGAAAGCCTGGAAATATCAGGGAATTTTTATGTTTCCAAGCTTGAAAAGGTCAAACCAAAGTAGGTATCTACAGCGAACATAGCTATTTTTATATTTCACTTTGACAAATTTGGCTTGACAAATATTTAATGATCTACAAATCTATAAAACGATCCTAAAAAATTATTTGTGATGAGAAAGTTGATTGGCCAAAAGTGTGGGAACCCTGTCACTCAGATGGCCCTTTTCAAATGCACTCATGCACTGATGAGAAAAAAACAACACTTGCATGTCCATATATATATATTTGATTACAAGTCTACATAGTTTTTCCACAATCTGTGCAACAGTTCTTCAGCTTTAGTTGTTTAATTTCTTTTTGGCGATACTGTGCACATTTTATGATATAACTGGGCAAAGATAGAACAAATAAAAATGACTTTAAGTAGGTGTCGAGTGTGGGCTGAAGAACGTCTACGAGGTGTGTAATGCCTCTCTGTGGTGGTGTGTTTGTGAACATTGCTTCAACGAAATCTGACTGGGTGAATAAAGTCTCAAACACAAATCCCAACACGGCAAACAAACACTCTGAACATTAGAGATGCTTCTGGCATGGGGTCAAATGTCTTGAAGTTACGGTCACAGTTGCCTGGACATGAGATGGGTTTCACCTCTCTGAGCATGGATTCCCTGGAGCCTGTGAGTCAGCCCGGGCCCCATAGCTGACTCGTCCCTCTTTTACCATCCAGCTAAATGCATCCTCACTTCTGCATGTCTGTGTTTGTCTCTGTCTGTGTGCATGTGTGTGCAGTATGCGTCTTCATACAGTATGTCTCTGTGTCTGCTGTCTCTGTGTGTCTGAAAGCGCCCCATTTACTATGTGATTTCTGTACCCCCAATAGGGCCGAGCCCATTTACAGTGCCATCCACAAACCTCATGGGGACACCAGCCCTCCCTCCCCCCATCTGTGCAGCAGGGGGTCTGGGGATGTGGGCTGCAGCCCCGCCCCGCCTGCTCTGTGTCAAAGCCTGGTCCCATACACCGGCAGGTACTAACCACTGCTTCTCGCTCTGCCTGGCTTAGCATAGCTAGTTAACCTGACAGTTACCCACCTCTCCTACCCCAAACACAACCACCATTCTTTCCCCTACTTCAATGCAACACAGGTAAGGCCTGAAGCGAAATGACTCCCTGCTTTGAGCATTGTACTCTTCTGCAGTATGGAGGAGATGGCATGCAGTGTTAGCTTTTAGTAAAAGACTTCTTTCGCCTTTTTCTTGCTTGCAGTCGTGTTCACATCTTTTAACGTAGACCCAATCGCAGATGAGCACAGATGGAGAAGTTTGACACATGCACTCTTATGTCTTGCCTATTTACTGTTGTGCAGACTTTGTTTGCACACAGTAGACAAAGTGCCTGGACATATCTGGACCCTCTTGATTTCCAGAATTTTGTCATTTGGAAAATGCACACAGGGCCCACAAACATGCTCAGCTAAAAAATGCTTTGAGTTTTAAAGGTGCATTATGTAGAATTTACATATTATATAGCAGCGCTGTCAAACTCAGTTCCTGGAAGGCCACAGCCCTGCATAGCTTAGTACCTTGCCTGCTTCACTACACTTACCCGGAAGTTTAAAACAAGCCTAAAGGACTCAATTAGATTGATTAGGTGTGTTTTATTAAGGTTAAAGCTAAATTGTGCAGAGCTGTGGCCCTCCAGGAACTGTGTTTGACACCTGTGCTATATGCTATGACATATCATACCTATTGGTTGACCTAGCTATTGCAGTCAAAACACTGGAGAGGGTTTTTACCACCTGGCACCTTCTCTGAATGCAGGTTGCCGAATTGACAACAGCATGCTTGATTATCGAGCTTACACTGTGTCCTAACTACACGAGACTAAACATGATCAAAGAAATCTTACTCATGTTAAAAGCTCTATTTTAGAAATGGTTTCTTTTTCTGCTGAACAACAGCACAGACTATAACAATGATCACCTCAGGTACTGATTATGTGCTTTATTCAGTGTTAAATAGTGTGAATACTAGTTTACTTGATATTTATTGCCAAACTGGCAGCAGTAAATTGAAGTTACCCTCAGATCGTGAAAATAAAATAATGAGCAAAAACTTTAAAATGAAAATTAGAACTGTGACTCAGGGCAAACCAACAAATATCAGTCATGATATCAGCTTTTGATTAAATATCAGCATGTTATTTTAATACAATTAAAGTAGTTTAATTTGTATTAATTATAATTGTACTATTTCATTGGAGTGCAGTGCACTATTCTGTGCTCCTGAACGGCTCTGGTATTTAAATGTTTCTGTCGTGTTGCATTTGGTGCGGACAGACAAATTGCCTGTTGCGTTGTGTGTTTTAGGACACAGTGTTACAACGTAATTTACTCACGTAATGTTTAATTTTGTAATATTTACATTATTTTCTAAATAAAACCACTTAATGTGGATTTTTATAACTTTGAATTCTGCTTCTCATCTTGGAGGCTGCTCCTGTGCTCCGAAGGTTGTATTTTCAGCCGCATACAGTGAGGCAGCCTGCACCTTGTGTTTTCCGTCAAGGCAACCCAGAGTGCTGAAATATAAATGGGTAAACTGACAGTGAGCAGGTTATAGAGAACGAAACAAAGACAGACATTCTGACATGGAAGACAAAATATCTGCGAACATAATTTGGTATTTTTATGCTTTAGAAGAGTCTAAAACGTACATACAGCACCTTTAAAGCCTACTCACAGCAGCATGAATGTTCATCATGAATATTTGGTCAGACCTGTCTGTTTAGGTTAATTAGTAAAAATGTCAGACAGGCTGATTAAAACTGAAGATTCAATTCTTGGTTGCACTTTTTTAACATTTGAAGAATTTACTTTCAGTTTTAAAAACACAACACTACTAATTCCCCACTCCTCACCTAGTCCATTTTGTTGGTCCCCATGTTTAATTTCAGATAGTATATTAGTGAAACCCTAAGCCATCACCTTTTACCATTTATTATGTCCTAGTGTTTGTGTGTGCTCCATGAAGCAGTCATAGTCTGAGTGATGTACTGTGACTGGCTGTCTTGGATGGGTATCATCTACTTTATGTATCAGTATGTGTCAGCGCTTGTTGTTTAATCCTTGTATATTCTCTGTACTATAGTACAAGTTCTACAGTATACCAGACTAATTATTCAACTGATTTTCTACAGTCCTTGCACTAGGTATTATCATTTTACATTTAACTAGTCAACAGCTCATTATGATATAAATGATTTCTAGAATCAAGAGATTATTAAAGAATGTCTATTATTACCAGTTAAACCTATAACTGAACCATAGCTGGTAGAATCCTAATAATGAATAACCATAGCCATATCTGGAGTTCATCAATGGCATGCTTTTTTGACTTGGACCATAAGCAATCACCCCAAATTCTTTTGCAACTGCATATTAACCATTCAGATTACACTAGCAACCTCCTAGCAACTAACCATAACACCATAGCAACTTTATAGCAGGTCACTAAAACACTCACAGTCTTCATAACCACCCAGAACACTCCAGCATTTGCATAACAATATCTTGAGACCCTAAAAACCTGTCACTGCGGTGGTACCCCAAAGATACACTTTTAGACTTATAGGTGCTAATATGTGCACTTCAGCAACTAATGTAGCTTTAGATAATCATATGGACCCTTTAGATTGAGAAAAGGTACCCCTAGTGACAGCTCTTGTTTCTTTATTTCTGAGATTGTAGCAATGCACCAAAACACTGAAAACTTCAGCCACCACACAGCAACACTCTGACAACCATACAAACACCCCAGCAAATGCATAATAATGTCTTGACAACCTAGAATCCCCAAGAAACCTAATACTGTAGAAATGTCCTGACAGCCACCAAAATATTCTAGCTATCCTAGAGAAAATATCTACAGTATAGCACAGAAAACACAGTGATTGCCCTAGCAATCACACACCAATGGCCTGGCAACCCCCAGAACACACTAGCAGCTGCATAACAACACCCTGAAAATGAGGAACTCTCCCAAACCTATACTGTAGCAATGCCCTGACAGCCACTCAGAACACCCTAGCAGTATAATAACACACAATGAGCAACACCCTCACAACCTCTAACTGTAGCAATGCCCTAACAGCCACTCAGAACACCTTAGCCGCTGCATAACAACACACAGGCCACCCAGAACTCCTTAACAGCCTCATACTGTAGAAAATCTTGCCGCATCTTATATCTATAATATCATAGCCATGCGCTAAAATATTTGAATCACCCTATGAACCACATAGAAATGCTTAGACAACCATCCAAAACTCCCTAGCAACTATCTACAACTCCATATCAGGGAACTGAAAACACCAAGAACACCTTCGCATCTGCATAGCACCACCCTAGAAACCCCCCATTGCACTACAGCCGTTGTTTTACAAGGTGCCTAAAATGATTACGTTTACAGGGACACCAGTAATCAAATTATTTTGCCTTAATCTGACAATGATATAATTAAGGTGTTTACTATGAATGTTCCTTTTATGATCTCGTTTTACATATTATAGCACATACTTTGATTAATGTTATTTTGTCACTTCACTATTCACGTTTCCTTTAGAGTTTCATGTAATTTCGGTTGTTTTATTTTTAATTTTTCGACTTTAAGCACAGTTTGGCACTTTCACTTTCATTCAGGAACATTTCATACATGCCCCCATGACAAACAAGATGTTGGATGTGAGTATGAACTGCTGAGGTGTGTTGTTTCAATGGAATTTGATACCACACAACGTATCAGAATATAAAAACCTCTGCTTTTTGCAATGCAGTTGTCGGTGGTCCTCTCGGTAGCAGCAGAGAATAATGTCAAACAGCTGTGTTTGTGCGGAACATCCTGTCACAAAATTTAGTGAATAGTCCTACATGACGCTAATGGTTTGATTGCAGTGTTTCCATGTCTGTACTGCACTTTAATAATTCGACTAAAATAAGCATACTCCACATGTCTTAAACAGATTAATCAAAAATTGCTGTTTACATGGTAGACTCAGAATAATGTCTTAATCATATTAAAATTGGATTATTGGTGTCAATGTAAATGTACTCATTGATATGTGCACTTATTTATTTGATTTACAAGAACAAAAATTTGTATATAATGACAATTGCCTGTAGTGAAAACACACTGACCTGATATGGAAGTCAAAGCCAAATTAAGACCTTAATATTAACCCTAAATCTACACCTAATTAAGAGCAGAATTTTTTATTTTCTGGGTGAACTAAACACTTATTTTTAAATGTGCCTACCTCTTGAATAAAGAGAATGAATGGTGGTTTATGAGAACATGCCTTGTGTCATTGCAATTCAGAAATCTTAAAGGGGTGGTCCAGCTTGGTTGTGTTTATAAGATGCAAAGTAATGTGTGCTCATGCTTCATTTGTAGAATATGACATTATTTTTTCATATACCTTACATTGATTATATACAGTTAATCAGCTAACATGACTGTCTTATTTCCTAGTTCCTCCGAAAGGCCCACTCTTAAGAGGCTCTGATTGGTCAGCTAACATAATGTGCTGTGGTTCTGTGAATAGCATGCACTGTGCTTGTGCTTTGTAAATAATGTCAATCAGTTTAGCTGTTAGCTGTATCAGTTTGAGCCTGAATCAGATAGAAAAAGACACATCTGAACCTAACGCCTGCTCTCTAAAATAAAATCTGACAAATGTCTCTCACATATATTCGGAATAAGCATGTGTAAGTAATATAAAACATTCACATATCTTTTGCAAGTTCATTATTTGAGATGTAAAAGGCAGGGAAAGCAGCTGCATAGAGAGACACTGCAGCTCTGCTGAAGATTGTGGCTGTTTACAGCAATTTGAGGGATAAATATGAATTTTTAGCTAAATTGTTAATGGTGCCAAACATAATTTCCCGTTGTTTACATCATTGTTTACTTCCTTGCTACAACATACCATTAACACTAGAAACTGTGCATGTAATAGATCAGTTTTAAC